CAAGGGTCTGGACACAGTAGCTCACGCCTATAATCCCAGCACTGAGGCAGGCAGATCATTTGAAGTCAGGAGTTTAAGACCAGCCTGGCCAACATGGTGAAACCCCATCTCCTAAAGATACAAAAATTAGCTGGGCCTGGTGGCAAGTACCTGTAATGCCAGCTACTCAGGAGACTGAGGCAGGGGAATGGCTTGAACCCAAGAGGCAGAGATTACAGTGAGCCAAGATTGTGCCACTGCACTCCAGCCTGGGCAACAGGGTGAGACACTGTCTCAAAAAATAAATAAATTTTAAAAGGTAGCCAACATTTCTGTAATACTTTCGAAGAGCTGGGCCCCGTTCTGGTCTAAGCACTTTTATATATTAACTCAGTCATCCTGGCTCTAACCCCATGATGTAGGTATCATTATTATCTTCATTTTACAGAGATGTTTCAATAACCTGCCTAAGGTCACACAGTTAGTGAAGAGCAGAGCTGAAGGATCCAGCCAATCTCGCTCTGAAGTCTGTGTATGGAAAGATTCTCTGTCTATAAATGCAAAGAATGGAGTTTGGAAGGAAGCAAACCAGACTGCTGACACTAGTCACATCTGGGGAGGGAAATGCGGGTATGAGCAGGGTACAGGGGATGTTCACATTTTGTTCCGTGTACTTCCGCATTATTTGACTCTTATACAAGAATGTATAACTTGAAAAAAGACAAAAACAAAAAATTAATGCGCCCTCGATTTTAATAAAAATGTACTTAACTACGCCTGGTAATAGCAAAGAAATACTACCTGAGTCATTTTCAAACAAAGGGGAGAATTTTTTAAAATAAGTGTGGGCTCTTCCTTATTACAAAGTAACACAGGCTTACTTTAAGTAAATCTGCTAAGCAACTGTTATCAGAAATTGGCAGAAAGTTCTTTTCCTCCTTTGTATAATTGCCAAGTTAAGAACATGGGCGCTACATCCAAATTGCCTGGGTTTTACCACTGGCTGTGCCACTTACCAGCCAGGTAACCTTGGGTGAGTTACCTAAACTAGTCTGTGCCTCAGCTTTTCATCCATAAAACTGGGATGATAACAGTGACTAACTCACAGGGTGGTTGTGAAGATTTGTTGTTGCTGTTGTTGTTAACTACAGTTAACAAGGTACAATGTTGTAAAGATTAAACAAATGCACATAAAGCTTTTCCAATAGACCCTAGCATAGAGTAGATATTCAATAAATGTTAGCTATCATTATTTTTTACTTTCTGTTAAAAAAGCTTTGTTGCCCAGGCTGGTCTTGGCCTCCAGGATCCTCCTGCCTCAGTCCTACAAAACAGTGGGATTACAGGGGTGAGCCACTGTGCCCAGCCTGTTAGCTATTATCACACAAATATAATAAGCAATGATGGCTTCCAAGACCAATTCCTCTAGGTGTTAAAAAATTTGAAAAACAGTGGTAATAGTATACCAAAATGGCAGCTTTGAATTTTTTATTTTAAAAAAAATTTTATTTTTTATTATTTTTTGAGACAGAGTCTCACTGTGTCACCCAGCCTGGAGTGCAGTGGTGTGATCTTGGCACACTGTAACCTCCGCCTCCTGAGTTCAAGCAATTCTTCTGGCTCAGCCTCCCAAACAGCTGGGACTACAGGTGCACACCATCACGCCTAGCTAATCTTTGTATTTTTAGTAGAGACGGGGTTTCACCATGTTGGCCAGGCTGGTCTCAAACCCCTGACCTCAAGTGATCTACCTGCTTCGCCCTCCAAAAGTGCTGGGATTATAGGCGTAAGCCACTGTGCCTGGCCCATGAAGTATTTTTTAAAAAGATGCTGTCCCCCTTGGCAAATTAATAATTTTAAAATATACTTACCTGGAGAATCTCTCTTTTGTAATAATCCAAAACTTTTTGTTTGAGCCCACTATTACACACAGATTGGAGGCAAACTAGTCTTAACACCTTGATCAATGAGTGCTTTTGGGCAATACAATCCTCAATGTAATTGTTGACCTGGAAATAAAGTAGCATACATATACATATACATATATATATATATACACACGTACGTGTACACACACACACACACACACACACACACAATACCCGGTTTGGGAACTTAAAAGAACTTGATGTTTACTATTATTTTCCCATATATCATATATTATGATATATGAGAAAATCAGTTATTTTTTCACAATCCCTAACCCCTCCCTGAAATAGCTCTCCTAGCCCCAGCCACATACACACCTTGGCTAACACACACACACACACACACACACACACACACACACACGCGCACACACACACACAAAAACACCACCCAAGTAATTAGGCCAAGTCACTGGAGCCCAAGACCACTGAGAATACAATTGGTCACTCCAAATGTCTGTCTGGACCCATCTGTCTCTAAGGACGTGCTTCTGAGAGGCTACCCGATACCTAGTCCATTTCAATAATATCAACAATTTATCTAGCAAAAAGTGTCAGTAATTGTTTAATGTTAGGAATTTTCATAAAGTTAATTTAAAATTTGTTAACGGCCGGGCACGGTGGCTCACGCCTGTAATCCTAGCACTTTGGGAGGCTAAGGTGGGTGGATCACCTGAGGTCAGGAGTTCAAGACCAGCCTGGCCATCATGCTGAAACCCCATCTTTAAAAAAAAAAAAACTTGTTAACAGAGTTAGATATTTAAAGGAATTATATAAGAAACTCTCTCAAAAGAGCAAATATCTTAATTTAAAAATATTTGATTTCAGGGGCTAGGTCTCATCTTGCCATGTATGGCAGAAAGAGTCTTGCACAGAATAACGGTAAATATCTGTTACATTATAAAATCTACACTTGCACATTTTGTATTTGTTTTTAAAAATATTTAGGCGGCTGAGCGCAGAGGCTCATGCCTGTAATCCCAGCACTTTGGGAGGCCAAGACGGGCAGATCACCTGAAGTCAGGAGTTTGAGACCATCCTGGCCAAAATGGTAAAACTCCGTCTCTACTAAAAATACAAAAATTTGCTTATACCCATTACTGGAGATAATTAAAAAAACAAACAAACAAAAAACAAAAATTAGCCAGGCGTGGTGGCACATGCCTGTAATCCCAGCTACTCAGGAGGCTGTGGCAAGAGAATCACTTGAACCTGGGAGGCAGAGGTTGCAGTGAGCCGAGATCGTGCCACCGTACTCCAGCCTGGGCAACAGAGTGAGACTGTCTCAAAAAAAAAAAAAAATTTAGGCAAGGCATGGGAATCAAAGCAGTTGCTTTTCTGGCTATGATCTAATGTTTAATAAGCTTTTAATTACTTGTTAAAGAGGTTTTTTTGTCCACATACCTTATCGGTGTCTATTCCAGACATAAACTCCTGTTCCACGGTTAATTTGTCAAAGAAGTCTTCAGAAGCTAAAATGAATTAATTAGCAAATTTGCAACTTAGAAATTAAATGTTAATTTACTGGAGTGGCATGCTTTTGTACACAGAGCATGGTTCAGAAAATAGACAGGTGGCTGGGCATGGTAGCTCAAACCTGTAATCTCAGAACTTTGAGAGGCTGAGGTGGGTGGGTCACTTCAGGCCAGGAGTTCAAGACCAGCCTGATCAACATGGCCAAACCCAAACCCTCTCCCTTTTTTTGTTCGTTTTTCTTTCTTTTTTTTTTTTTTTAATAGAGATGGGGTGTCACCATGTTAGCCAGGCTGGTCTCGAACTCCTGACCTCAGGTGATCCACCCATCTCGGCCTCCCAAAGTACTGGAATTACAGGCATGAGCCACCACGCCCAGCCAGCCAAACCCCATCTCTACCAAAAATATAAAAATTAGCCAGCTGTGGTGGCACACATCTGTAGTCCCAGCTACTCGGGAGGCTGAGGCGAGAACCACTTGAACCTGGGAGGCAGAGGTTACAGTGAGCTAAGATCATGCCACTGCATTCTAGCCTGGGCAACAGAGCAAGACACTGTTGCAAAAAAATGAAAGAAGAAAGAAAGAAAGAAAGAAAAGAAAGGAAAGAAAAGAAAGAAAAGAAAGGAAAGAAAGGAAAGAAAGGAAAGAAAGAAAGAAAGAAAGAAAGAAAGAAACCAGACATCATGCAAAAAAAGCAAGCAAGCAATAAGTTCAAGTCATCATCTGAAGAAAATCTTCTAGGAAACATGAAAAACCCTAGGCCTCTGTGCTCCTAAGTTACATTGAGATAGAGTTGACAATGGCCTTTCTTGGTATCCTTAGGATTTCAGTATAGACCCCAGAATGAGCGTCAGTATCAATAAAAGCTAATTCCTCAAGAGCATTTCATTTTCATCATTAGGTTCAACCCAATTTCAATTGGTTTCCACTTCTACTAACAGAAAAACAAAGGACTGATTTTCCAATACTGTGTTTTAGTTAGGATTTGAAGTATACTTCATGAAACAATCTCCTACTCAGCTTTTACAGCCCTGTGTTGTAATGAGCAAACTCATGTCTGCTTTAATAGACATCTTCTGAGCTCTTTCAAAATACTCAACATATACTCTCTGTACCAATTCTGCATAGAGTATTCAAGGAAAGAACAACAACAACAACAACAAAAAATCACCCTGGGCCAATTAAGTAATACTTCAAAAAGAAAAAAAGCAGCCAGGCGCAGTTTCATGCCTGTAATCCCAGCACTTTGGGAGGCTGAGGCAGGCGGATCACCTGAGGTCGGGAATTCAAGACCAACCTGACCAACAAGGTGAAACACCATCTCGACCAAAAATACAAAATTAGCTGGGCATGGTGGCGCATGCCTGTAATCCCAGCTACTTGGGAGGCTGAGGCAGGAGAATCGCTTGAACCCAGGAGGCGGAGGTTGCAGTGAGCTGAGATCGCACCACTGCACTCCAGTCTGGGCAACAAGAGTGAAACTGTCTCAAAATAAAAAAGTAAAAGGAAAAAAGCTATATTAAAAAAATTAACCATCTCAAATTATGATGTCAAACTTAACATTTTCTCTTATCTACATTCCAAATATTTTTCATATAAATGATAATGAAAAAAATTGAGTTAACAAATGGAACATTCTTTTTTTTTTTTTTGAAATGGAGTCTTGCTCACCCAGGCTGGAGTGCAGTGATGTAATCTCAGCTCACTGCAACCTCCACCTCCAGGGTTCAAGTGATTCTCATGTCTCAGACTCCTGAGTAGCTGAGACTACAGGCATGTGCCACCATGCCCAGCTAATTTTTGTATTTTTGGTAGAGATGCGGTTTCACCATGTTGCCCAGGCTGGTCTTGAAGTCCTGGACTCAAGTGATCTGCCCGCCTTAGCCTCCCAAAATGCTGGGATTACAGGCGTGAGCCATCATGCCCAGCCAACAAATGGAACATTCTTTTTTTGTTTGTTTGTTGTTTTTTTGAGATGAAGTCTCACTCTGTTGACCAGGCTGGAGTGCAGTGGCATGGTCTCAGCTCACTGCAACCTCTGCCTCCGGGGTTCAAGCGATTCTTCTGCCTCAGCCTCCCTGGTAGCTGGGACTATATACACGCATCACCACGCCTGGCTAATTTTTGTATTTTTAGTAGAGATAGCATTTTGCCATGTTGGCCAGGCTGGTCTCAAACTCCTGACCTCAGGTGATCTCCCCACCTCAGCCTCCCAAAGTGCTGGGATTACAGGTGTGAGCCACCGTGCCCAGCCTGGAACATTCTTAACTATTAACATACGTATACTTAGTTAACACAGGGAATAACACATGGTATTAAGACAGAGCTGACTCTCCCAAGGAAGCATCGTGGTGTTGATGACCTAGGTATAAAACGTTGTGTGTTGCTAGTAGCCCCAGATGGAAACCACCATTACAAAGGATACTCACTAGTGACATCTTTGATCAATTCTGCAATTGAGGTATGGTTTGCCAGCGAGCCCCTTGCTGCCTGCATGTGTGGCAACTGGGAAACAAACTGCTTGATCTCCCCCACAGTCTTCGCGTTGTGTCTTTCCTGAAAGAAACAAGACAGCAGTGCCTCAGGCAGGGAAGATAGTTTATTTATGCATTTATTTATTTTATTTATGTTTTTGAGAGGGAGTCTTGCTCTGTCACCCAGGCTGGAGTGCAGTGGTGCTATCTCGGCTCACTGGAACCTCTCCCTCCAGGATTCAAGTGATTCTCCTGCCCCAGCCTCCTGAGTAGCTGGGATTACAGGTGCCTGCCACCATGCCCAGCTAATTGTTGTACTTTTAGTAGAGATGGGGTTTTACTGTATTGATCAGGCTGGTCTCAAACTCCTGACCTCAAGTGATCCACCCACCTTGGCCTCCCAAAGTGTTAGGATTACAGGTGTGAGCCACCACGCCTGGCTGATATTTTAAGTGCTCTGTTTTTTGTATTGTTCAGAGGATGTTTCATTTATATTAATATGAAAGGCAGAATGGACAACAAATAAATCACGCCAAACACAGCTCCAACATTATAAAGAAAAACAGAAAAGTACATGTCACTGAAATATAGAGCTCATGGTGCCTGTCTCCCAAATTAGCACTTCTTTAGAGAAGCAGATGCCTCAGCGTCTCTCTTCCAGTGTACCAGCTCACACACTGTGTCAGTATTTTGTGGGCATCTGGGTATTGGTGAAAGACGGTATTACATAAATCATACAAATCTCTGAGTAAAAAACCAAGACAAAAAATGTTTAGAGGGTACTATAAAGAGGAAAAGTTTCCTATGTAATAGAAAAAAAAAAAAAAAAAACCACCGTTTTTTCTGTTGAACCTCAGTCTTGTCTTTGGTTTTGAGACAGGGTCTCTCTCTGTCGGTGAGGCTGGAGTGCAATGGCACCCTCACAGCTCACTGCAGCCTCCAACTCCTAGGCTCCCACCTCAGGCTCCCACCTCAGCCTCCCGAGTCGCTGGGATTACAGGCATATGCCACCGTGTCCAGCTAGTTAAAAAAAAAAAAGAAGAAGAAGAAGAAGTTGTTTTGTAGAGATGGTGTCTTGCTGTGTTGCCCAGGCTGGTCCAGAACTTCTGGGCTCAAGTGATCCTCCTGCCTCAGCCTCTGAAAGTGCTGGGATGACAGGCGGGAGCCACCGCGCCCGGCCTGAACCTTAGTCTTGAGTATAGCCTACGAACAAAGCAAACCAGCTTGGTGATGACATTTTTTGGCAAAATGTAATAACTTAAACCAAAAGTAATTTCAGAAATATGAAAATCGATTAATGAATATAATTCCTAAGAAAGATAAAATCTGGAATTACACGGCCAAGTTCCAAGCCAGCCTGGAAAACACAGGGAGACCCCGTCTCTACAAAAAAAAAACCAAAAACCAAAAAACTTAGCCGGGCATGATGGCATGTTCCTATGGTCCCAGCTACTCGGGAGGCTGAGGTGGGAGGATTGCTTGAGCCTGGGAGGTAGCAGCTGTAGTAGACTGTGACTGTACCACTGCCTCCATCCTGGGTGACAGAGTGAGACCCCGTCTCAAAAAAAAAATCTGGAACTACATACTCAATGAAAAATTCATTCTCAAAAACTTCCAATTTATGTTTCTAAAGTCTAAATATTCAGAGTTTACCATCTTGTTGAATTCCCATGTTTCACAAAGGAGCCTGGGCAAAAATAAACTAGTGAATCGGCAAGAGGAGGCAGAAAGGTGATAATTAAGTCAATTTAAAAGCCCTGGGTTGCTGGGGATTTCAGTCTCATTATCACTCACCACACGTGCTGGGGTCCCCTGCCACAGTCACACTGGCTAAACTTGAGTTTGCAGCATGAACCACAAGTTCTATTAGAGAGGAACTGTTATTTATAGTACTGATGGCTTCCTTTTAAGCGAGGTAGGAAATAATTTAAAAGATGATAAAGCAAATGTTGATGATGGAAGTCTGTAAACTGCGAACACTTGTGCCTCCACCTACCCCCCACGCAAAAAGAGCTTTACACCACATGGGTGTGAGAAAGTTTAAAATGAAAGAAAACCTTGGATCTTCCAATACGGAATTTGTAGTCACTGAAGATGAGTGAAGTTGCACCAAAGCCCGGCTTAATGGCTCCATATTTTTGGAGCTTTTATTCATTCCCCTCTGGGATGGGCATCTACATGAGACCTAGAGTTTCAGAATGACACCCCAAACTTGCCTCACCTCGAATGCTGCAGAGATGATCTTTGCTTTCTTGCTGAGCACAGAGCCCACTGCATTGAAGTTCTTATCTCGGATCTCAGCATAGAGCTCCTCTGCAGAATTCAGCTGCAGCTTCTTTGCTTCTGTGGGGAGGTCCTTACCACCATCGCCCTGTTTCTTAGGTGCAAATTTCTCTGGGGGTAATTTCACATAACCTGAAAGGCAATGGAAGGGAATAAGCACCTGTGTGCAATGACTGGAAGAACCAACCAAGCGCCCAAGCACAAAACAATTTCCAGCTCAGGAGACAATGTAAGGGCAAACGACACAAAGCTCTGAGCTTTCGATTTTCCATGATCAAAGTACAGGAAGTAGTGACTCGAATATTGACACCACAGTTCTAATTATCTTTGACGCATTTATGTAAACCACATGCAGCAATGTCCACTTCCTGAACTTATTCAGAGAGTAGGTCACTTTTCCACTCTGAAAGCTTACAAGGATCTCCCTAGTGTCTCTTTGCGTTTTTTCAAATTGTGGATCATGTTCCATTAGTGGATCATGAAATTAAGCTGGTGGGTTGCAAGTAGCATCTTAAAAACAAAAAGAAAACAACAGTACCCAAAATAGCACAGAGCAGAAAATACAAAAGCTGATCACATGACATTAGAGAAGCTAGTGGTGGCTTCAGGTTTTTTTTTAAATAAAGCTTTTGTTTCAGTTTCACATGCACATACATATACATGTATATATGTACTGGGTCATGATGTAAAATATATTACTCACTGATTCTCACTCTATCTCATGATATAAAATATATTTCTCACATATTTCTCCAGAATAGCATGGTATCCACTTCCTCTGCGAAGCAACCTTAATCCCCTTCTCTCCACTCTGCTCCTGCCAAGCCAAGTGAGTCTTTATTTCCCTGGAACACCCCACATGTGCTCATGAACTGCTGATGGCATGGAGCTGATGTAACTCTGCAGTAAAGCAATTTGGCAACACATACCAAGTGCCTTTCACCCCAAAATCCTGCATCAGGGAATCCAGGGAAAGAAAATCATCTGATATATAAAAAAAATCTTACGTATGCTGGGCATGGTGGCTCACGCCTCTAACCCCAGCACTTTGAGAGGCTAAAGTGGGAGGATCTCTTTATATTTTATTTTATTTTATTTATTTGAGACGAAGTCTTGCTCTGTCACCTTGCCTAATTTTTATATTTTTAGTAGTGACAGGGTTTCACCATGTTGGCCAGGCTGGTCTTGAACTCCAAACCTCAGGTGATCCGCCCACCTCAGGCTACCAAAGTGCTGGGATTACAGGCACGAGCCACCACACCCGGCCACTTTTTTTTTTTTTTTAACTGAGACAGAGTCTCGCTCTGTCACCCAGGCCGGAGTGCAGTGGTGTGATCTCGGCTCACTGCAACCTTGGCCTCCCAGGTTCAAGCGGTTCTTCTGCCTCAGCCTCCTGAGTAGCTGGGATTGCAGGTGCACGCCACCACGTCTGGCTAATTTTTGTATTTTTAGTAGAAACGGGTTTCGCCATATTGGCCAGGGTGGTCTCAAATTCCTGACCTCAAGTGATCTATCTGCTTCAGCCTCCCAAAGTTCTGCGATCAGAGGTTTGAGCCATCACACCTGGCCTGGGAGGATCTCTTGAACCTAGTTCAAGACCAGCTGGGGAAACATAGGGAGACCCTGTCTCTATAAAAACTTGAAAAGTTAGCTGGGCCTGGTGGAGCATTCCTACAGTCCCAGCTGCTTGGGAGGCCGAGGTGGAAGGACTGCTTGAGCCAAAAAGGTCAAGGCAATAGTGGGGTATGATCACGCCACTGTTCTCTAGCCTGGGCGGCAGAGTGAGATCCTGTCTCAAAAACAACAACATTGGCTGGGCACGGTGGCTCACACCTGTAATCCCAGCAATTTGGGAGGCTGAGGAGGGTAAACTGCTTGAGCTTAAGAGTTCAAGACCAGTCTGGATGACATGGTGAAAGCTGTCTCTATTAAAAACAAATAAACAAAAAATAAAAACTCCACTTATGTATATAGATGTTTTTATAATGACACACACAGGAAAAAACCTAAAATGCCCAACATTAGAGGAATGACTCTGTCAACTAGGGTTTAAATGTACTGTGGATTTTTTTTTTTTTTTTGGTGAGACGGAGGAGTTTCACTCTTGTTGCCCAGGCTGGAGTGCAATGGCATGATCTCAGCTCACTGCAACCTCTGCCTCCTGGGTTCAAGCAATTCTCCTGCCTTAGTCTCCTAAGTAGGTGAGATTACAGGTGCGCACCACCACCTGTAAAAATTAGCGCCCGGCTAATTTTTGTTTGTATTTAGTAGAGACAGGGTTTCACCATGTTGGTCAGGGTGGTCTCGAACTCCTGACCTCCGGTGAACTGCCTGCCTTGGCCTCCCAAAGTGCTGGGATTACAAGCGTGAGCCATTGTGCCCAATCTATATTGTGGATTTTAATGAATGCATATACTAGGAAAATGCTCATTAGCTTACCAAATCAAAACTCAGGTTTGAAACTATTTGTACAACCTGATTCCATTTTTCATTCATTAAAATAAACTACACAAGGGGAAAAAAAGACAGTAAGGAAATACGCCACAGAATTAACAGTGGTTTTCCCAAGGTTTGAGGCCATAGGTCCACAGGGTAGGGCTGGAAGATAATAAGGGATCTATGTTTTCTTCTATTTTTCCAACTTTTTTCTTAATCAATGTTTGACTTATATTACAAAAAAACTTGCTACAAGGAGACTGGGAATTTAAACACACTGTCTTAGAAAACTCCCTCCGACCTACCTCTCACCTGTCCTACACAGCTGTCTCCTGGGCCAACTCCCAGTCTCCTTTCCCCTGCGCCATTCCCCATCCCCAACTGCTGAGCACTCCGTTCATGCCTTCCTGGGTGGCACACACTCTGGGACCACCCCATTTCTCTCATTTCCACCCACGACCCAGCAGAGGGCTCTCCTGAAATGAATTCCTCTGTCAATAAATAGAGTTTTACAAAGTAGTAGCCATTTTTTTGACAAATAACAATAATAATAAAAAGACTTTTTACAATCTTATAAAAGACCTTAAGGAGGCGTGTGTAGAAACACCTGTTCATGTCTCTCTCTCCATTCCCTCACCCAGGTCATGCATTCCTTCATTCTTGTGGTAAATTGCACATCATACAAAAATTACCACTTTGTTTTACAATGAATGATCCAGTAGCATTTAGTACATATACAACATGGTAGGACCACAGCCAGTCTCTAGTTCCAGAGTTTTTTTAACCCAAAGGGAAGCCCTATAGCCAGTAAGTAGTCACCCCCCATCTCCTTCCTGCAGTCCTGGCAACCATGGGTCTGTTTTCCCTCTGAATTTTAGGCCTATCTTTTTTTTTAATATTTTTTCAATTTTTCACCTTGTTTTTTTTTTTTTTTTTTTTTTTTTGAGACAGAGTCTCACTCTGTCGCCCAGGCTGGAGTGTAGTGGCATGATCTTGGCTCACTGCAACTTCTGCCTCCTGAGTTCAAGTGATTCTCATGCTTCACCCTCCTGAGTAGCTGGTACTCCAGGTATGTGCCATGAAATCCAGCTACGTGTCTGTGTGTGTGTGTGTGTGTGTGTGTGTGTGTGTGTGCGCGTGTGTGTGCGCGCGTCTGCCTCAAACTCCTGACCTCAAGTGATCTGCCTGCCTTGGCCTCCCAAAGTGCTAGAGTTACAGGCGTGAGCCACCGTGCCCAGCCCCATCTTCCTTACACATGCCTCCCCTTGGGCCTTTCCTTGGACTCCTGTGACTTCATTCAGGATGGCAATAGAGGCCGGGGACTATGCAGATGAGGGAAGAAGGCAGGCTGAGACAGGTGTGGGGTCTGCGGTGAGGCAGGGAGCTCTGGATACTGGGTCTCAGCCACCCACCCAGTGGGAGCATGGCCTCTTGCCAGTGCTTCCAGTATTTTTCAAGTTATGGCAAAATTCAGGATTATTACTTAAAATGTAACACATTAAAGCTGACAGAAAGTATCATGTGAGCCAAGACCAACCAAACCAAAATGCTTGTGACTCTCACCAAATACCCCACCAAGCCCAAGCTCTGGCCAGCCACCCAAGTCTTCCATCGAGTGGCCTCAACCTCCTATACCAGCCGTTTCTCTACAATATTTCCCCAGTCGTGCGCTCCGCTCAAGCACGCTGCTTGACTCATCCTGACTTTGTGTGATGCCGCCTGCCCCCGCCCCAGGACCCCCGTCTGAACTCTCTGCTTCCTTCCAAACCTAGCACAAACGCCACTGCTCCCACAGCCTTCCTCAGCTACTGCCGGCCGCACGGATGTGTGCATCCCATACGCCAGTGCCCTCTGTGGGAGACAGGTTGCCTCGGCTCACAAGGGACAAAGACAGGCCTGGTAAACTGATAAACTGCTGCCAACTCTTGTGTCACTGACAACCGCAGTTTGCTCAGAGGTCACTGAATCCCAGTGTCTGAAAGTCAAAGTCAGTACTTTTGTTGTTTCAAGGTAAAGCAATCAGCTTTCTGGAAACCGACCCTTTGGAGGCATGATCTGATTAGTCCGCCTCCAGTTATTTCCCTTTCTTATGATATTCTCAGTTATTTTTTTATATATTATAAATATAGTTTGGAACACAAATACATACACATACAAACATATAATAATTTCTAATTGAAATAAGCATGCCTATGCAGCTTTTTATGTTCCACAATTATTATTTTGATGTTTCCATAATTTCTTTGTTTTTTGAGACAAAGTGTCGCTCTGTCGCCCAGGCTGTAGGACAGTGGTGCTATCTCGGCTTACTGCAACCTCTGCCTCCAGGTTCAAGCAATTCTCCCACCTCAGCCTCCCAAGTAGCTGGGATTACAGGCACACACCACCATGCCCGGCTAGTTTTTTGTATTTTTAGTAGCGACGGGTCTCACCATGTTGGCCAGGCTGGTCTCAAATTACTGACCTCAAGTAATCCACCTGCCTTGGCCACCCAAAGTGCTGGGATTACAGGTGTAAGCCACCATGCCCTGCTGGTTCCATAATATTTAATAACGTACTCCACCACTGAGATTGTTTGGGAAATTCTGGTAAGAAATGGAAATTGAAATTTTTTTTTTTTTTTTGAGGTGGAGTCTCACTCTGTTGCCCAGGCTGGAGTGCAGTGGTGCCATCTCGGATCACCACAACCTCTGCCTCCAGGGTTCAAGCGATTCTCCTGCCTCAGCCTCCCAAGTAACTGGGACTACAGGTACACGCCACCATGCCTGGCTAATTTTTATTATTTTTCATAAAGACGGGGTTTCGCTATGTTGACCAGCTGGTCTCAAACTCCCAACCTCATGATCTGCCTACCTTGGCCTCCCAAAGTGCTGGGATTACAGGCGTGTGCCACCACGCCCAGTCTGGAAATTGAAATTTTTATGCAAATCTCACTGATCCCCTTTTTTGGGATGATTCCTCAAAGGATGTTCTTAGGCTTTGGGTTTTTTGAGCCAAGGGTTAGAAAAGTTTTATATGTTGCCAAATGGTTTACAATAAGGTCTGTATTAATCTACACTTTGAAATCATCATTAAAATTGGATCTCTGACTTCAAATACGCTTAAGTGTCCAATATACACAGTAGCCTCCACAAAAGATATTATTCTCATATTACCTATTAGTGGAAACAGACATCACGTACTTACTGTTCTGAATGCCATAAATTTCATCAATGAGTCCTTCATATGTCAGCTGAGTGGCAAGGGGCGTTAATAAATCCACATTCCGATCAAGCAACAAGAGATTATCAAAAACAGGAAATATTGAATTCTGGCTTCCTGTAAACTCTCTCTTCATCCTGATCATCATATTGGCCACTTGCTGGAAACAAAACATTGGATGAGGTGGGGCCTCCTGGGAGCCAGCAGATTATAAAATTCGTCCAAAACCAGAAAGACAATCAAAAAAGTAAAAATGGAGAAAACTGTGGAAGAGTGCACTGCTAAGAAATAAGCAGCTCTAGAAAAGCTGGCACCCATCCCGACACTGGCGCCAAGGGAGCTGCCATTTGCCAATGAGGCATAAAATCAGGTCAGTCTATTCTTGGGATTTGCAGTAGTTATGTTCTATGAAGTCACTGTAAACACTAAATTAGCGAAGATGGGACCACTGTTCCTGGGGGAAATGCAGAGTTAGGTTCCTGTGAGCCTCTGGTCTCAACGTTTTTGTCAAATGATCAACGCAGAACCCAGTTTTATATGTGTTTCTGCTTAAAGATGCCTGACTTAACATCATTGTTATGATTCACCTTGAACTCACAGTCCCAGCTCTGTGGCTTGTGCCTGAACGAAGCGTCTGTGACACATGTAATGTCTCTGCCAGGCACATCACAGCCTTCTTGTGCTCAGGACACCAGACTGCACCTCAGCCCTACGACTGGGGGCCATTTTAAACAGTGAAATCACCAAAAAATGTACAAATGTGTGAAAAACATGACAGTGAGACTGTGAAAAGGACACTTGCTGGCAGTCTGAGAGCTGAAATGGGAAAGTGGAGTGTCACCCAGCCTCAGATGGGAACATGCGCAGTTGGTTACTCAAACTCACCACTGTGCCCACCCATAAAGCACCCGGAATACTGACGTGGAGGGTTATAAGTGCATTTTAATGAGGAGGTAAATTCATGAGTATTCATAAATAATTAGGATCAACTGAATTTGTGTGTAAGGAGATTCCTGTTCCTGCTCCCTTTTGGGGTGTGAAGGGCCCCTCCTTTGCCAAGAGAAAGCAGCCGGATCTCACCCGAGCGCATTCTCCTTTCCCGAAGATCTGGGGGATCGTTCCGTACAGAGCTTGGAGGGTCATCAGCCCCTTGGCTGCGTGGTACAGGCTCGTCTGGTCGCCCTCCAGGTAGCACTCCTGTGAGGGGAAATGCCAATTACTGCCAGGCCACAGGGGCCTCCTAGGGGCCCCTCTCTGTTCCTGGGGCTGGGGTACAGCAACAGATAATAAAATCATTTCCAGTTATTTCACCCTGTGCCAGGAAAGCTGGGGACTCAAGTTCATTTTCCAAATTGCTGCCTGCCAGTCTAGGCCCTAAGGCTGGCAGCCCCAAGGGTGGGTACAGCCGTGGAAGCACCTTTCCTGGGCAGAGCTGCGGCTTCTGGAAGAAAACTGTTCACCCGGCATGCCAGCTCTTCTGAATCAGCTCTTGAATAAAAGACTGTAGAACACGGAATTATACTGAGACATGGGGTCCTATTCACTGGTGAGTTTAAACTCTGGCAGGACATGCTGGGAGAGCCACATGCTAATGCCCAGAAATGCAAAAGACCACAGGACAGATACTGCATTGTTCTTACAAAGGATGAGGCGGATTTTCACGACAAGTGACAAGCGAAAGCCACAATCTCTTGAGAAATGAAAAGAACAAGTTGAACAACCTTGAATATAATCTCAGTTCATAAAATATATATATTTTTGCATTGAAAAAAGGACCTCCAAAATACATACAAAACCACCTGGGAAGACTGGGTGCACTGGCTCATGGCTGTAATCGCAGCACTTTGGGAGGCTGAGGCAGGTGGATCACCTGATGTCAGGAGTTCGAGACCAGCTGGACCAACATGGCGAAATCAGATCTCTACTAAAAATACAAACACTAGCCAGGCTTGGTGGCGTGTGCCTGTAATCCCAGCTACGCAGGAGGCTGAGGTGGGAGAATCACTGGAGCCCGGGAGGCAGTTTGCAGTGCGCCGAGACTGAGATTGCGCCACTGCACTCCAGGCTGGGTGACAAAGTGATAATCCAAAAAAAGACAGAACAAGGGTGTTCATGTGGATGTGCCACTGGACCCCTCACACACTGCTGCTGGCAGTACAAACGGTACAGCTTCAGTGCAGGAGTTTGGCAGCTCCTCAAAATGTTCAATGTAGAGTTGCCATATGAGTCAGCAATTCTACTCCTAGGTATAGCCACACTAAATGAAAATATACATGAAAATATAAATGAAAAAAACTTTTCTCAAAAATATCATGACAGCCAAACAGTGGAAACAACCCATCAGGTGTCCATCAACTGATGAATGATATCATTACAATGCAATGCTATTCAGCAACAAAAAGGAATGAAGCCCTGACACAGACTACAACCTGGATGAACCCTGAAAACATGACACGAAGTAAAGATGCCACACACGAAGGACCACATACGTATTATATGATTTCATTTCCAAGAAATCTCCAGCATAAGTTCAAAACCAGCCTGGGTAACATAGTGAGATGCTGTCTCTCCAAAAAATAAAAATTGAAATAAAAGAAATTTTTAAAAAATTAGCCAGGTGTGGTGGCACATGCCTGTAGTTTCAGCTAATCAAAAGGCTGAGGCTAGTGGATCGCTCAAGCCTAGAGGTCAAGGCTGCAGTGAGGTATGATCACATCACTGCACTCCAGCCTGGGCAAAAGAGTGAGACTCTGTTTCAAAAAAAAGAAAAAGAAAACTGCAGAATAGGCAAATTCATACAGACTGAACTAGACTAGTGCCTGCCAGAGGCTGGGGGAAGGAAGGATAGGGATGAACTACTACCAGGCATGGACTTCTTTTTGGGGTAGTTAAAATATGCCACACTTAGACCGTGGTGATAGCTGCACAGCTTTGTGAATACACTAAAAACCATGTATTCTCACCATCAAGGAGACAATTTCATGGTATTGTGAGTTTTTTTTTTTTTTCCTTTTTGAGATAGTCTTCCTCTGTCACCCAAGCTGGAGTGCAGTGCCACAATCTTGGCTCACTGCAACCTCTGCCTCCTGGGTTCAAGTGATTCTCCTGCCTCAGCCTCCTGAGCAGCTGGGATTATAAGCACCCACCACTATACCCGGCTAATCTTTGCATTTTTAGTAGAGACGGGGTTTCGCCATGTGGCCCAGGCTGGTCTCAAACTCCTGACCTCAGGTGATCCACTCGCCTCAGCCTCCTAAAGTGCTGGGATTATAGGCGTGAGCCAATGCGCCCAGCCAGTACTGTGAGTTATAATAAAGCTATTATTTAAAAATTTAACTACTTTTAATGGGAAATGTCTACATGATAAAAGACACTATAAACAAAGATAAAAGACAAGTCCGACTGGGAAGATACTTGCAGCTTTTATAACCCATAATGATCAACATCCGGAATATACAAAGAATGACCCAAAAAGAAAAAAAGGGCAAAGAAAATGAACAATTTGCTGAAGAGAAAATCTTTTTTTTTTTTTTTTTTTGAGACGGAGTTTCGCT